GTTCTGGAAATCTGGATTCAATCTAGTAGGATTCATGTTCAAAATCTCACGGTCATTCCATAAGTCCAATATAGTTCATCTTTCTGTTGGAACATTTTGGTGAAGCATTTCAGCAAGTCAACAAAGCAAAGCTTCTCTGTAGGTGCTTGCAAGCTTTTAAGATCCCGGTCACTACTTCCCAAAGTAGGAGGTGGAACAATGTTTTGTGTAGTATGTTATGCCAATTGAGCTTGATGTCCCCTGTGACTATGGTCTCGAGCCCACAGGTTCAACTACTCAGTCCCTCTGGGTAGCTGGCTGTGACCAAGAAGTGACTACAGCCCTTGTTCCTTGTCAGCTCTACTATGCACCCAGGAATTCAGATCATACAAATACATTTATAGGGCCTTTGTCTACCAACCCTATACATGGTCTTGAGTCACTCCCTGCTTCATAGACATACCTAATAGTTCAGCTTGTCCACCCATCTATCCACCCGTATACCCATGTTTGCCTTCACTGACAACACAGTACTGTATGTGCAAAAGGGTTCATCTTTGTTGTCTGTACCTCCCAAGTACCTTTCTAAGTCTTCCTCTTCCTCAGTACCACTATGTACATCACTCACATTTGCTACATTGCCCTTCTCTTCACTCAAATCAATACTTATCTCTACCTATCTAACAGTGTTCCCTTCCTTCCTTTCCCACCCCTGGTAACCAAGAAAGAAAATTTCCTTCCATAGATAAACCTTTCCTTGACTTTTATATTAACAGACTAAGACAATATTTGTCCTGTGATTGACTTATTTCACTCAGCATAATGTCCTCCAAGTTCATCCACATTAAGAGGTGTTTTGCAGATTCTAGGTTATTCTTTAGGATTGATATTTTATGCTTAAAATCTTTCAGTATCTCAACTGGAGGGTTGAATTTTTTCTTCAGTTATTTCAGCTTAAGAAATGCTGAGTGTGGTCTCCAGCTCTTTACACATTTCATTATAATACTTTGCTTTGTCTTCTTGAGCTCCTCTTCGAAATCTTCTGTTCAGCTCTTTAACTTCGTCATTTATTCCTTTTGCTTTAGCTATTTTAAACTAAAAGCCAGTTTCAGAGTTTCTTCTGACATCTACTTTGGTCTTTTATTCCTTCCCTGTCTTTTAATGACTTTTGGTTTCTTCATGTTTTATGTCCTTGATAGCATCTCAGAACTCTTCTGGTCTTTGGACTTTAGTGTTCAGTGTATCAAATCTATTCTTGAAATGGTCTCTAAATTCAGGTAGGATATATTGAAGATTGTATTTTGGCTCTGATGGACTTTTTCTAATTTTCTTCAGTTTAAACTTTCATATTAAATTGGTAGTCTATTCTGCAGTCACGGAGCTCTGGTGGTGCAGTGCCTAAAGCATTTTACTGCTAACCAGAAGGTTGGTTGTTCAAACCCACCAGCTGCTCTGCGGAAAGAAGGTGGGAAGGAATCTCCTTCTGTAAAGATTTATTGCCTCAGAAACCCAATGAGGGTTGCTATGAGTTGGAATCAACTTGATGTCAGTGAGTTTTGTTATTCTGCTGTTGGTCCCTGGCCTTGGTCTAAGTAACAGTGTTCAGCTTCTCTGTCATCTCTTTCCACAGATGGGGTTGATTTGATTCCTGTGTATTCCATCCAGTGAGCTCTATGTGTATAGTTGCTGTTTGTTCTGTTGGAAAAAAGGTATTTGCTATGAATAAGTCATCAATCTTGCAAAATTCTGTCATGCAATCTTTAGTATCATTTCTGTCATCAAGGCTGCATTTTCCAACTGTGGGTCCTTCTTCTTTATTTCCAACTTTTGCATTCCAAACACCAGTAATTACCAATGCTTCTTGATTGCATGTTTGATCAGTTTCAGACTGCAGAAATTGGTAAATTCTTCAATTTCTTCATTTTGGAATTAGTGGTTGGTGTGTAAATTTGAATAGTAATCATATTAACTGGTCTTCATTGTAGGTGTGGATATTATCTTATCACTGACAACATTGTACTTCAGGATAAGTCTTGAAATGTTCTTTTGACCATGAATGTGACAGCATTCCTCTTTAATTTGTCATTCCCAGCATAGTAGATTATATGATTGTCCAATTCAAAATGGCCAATATTTCATCTTACTTATGCCTAGGATAATCTTTATGCATTCCATTTAATTTTTTACCACTCCCAATTATCCTAGATTCATACTTTGTTCATTTCATGTCTGATTATTAATTGCTGTTTGTAGGCCCCCCCCTTTTTTTTTTTTTCTGAGTCATACCACATCAGCAAATGAAAATCCTGAAAACTTTGCTCCATCTATTTCATTCAGGTCTACTATACTTTGAGGAGGCAGCTCTTCCCTAGTTGTGTTTTAGTGCCTTCTAACCTGAGGGGCTCTGGCACTGTATCAGACAATTATCTGATGCTACCCATAAGGTTTTCACTGGACAGTTTTTTCAGAAGATTGCTAGGTCCTTCTTTCCAATCTGTCTTAGTCTGGAAGCTCTGCTGAAACTGGTCTGGCATGAGTAATTTTGCTCATATTTGAAATACTAGTGGCATAGCTTCCAGCATCATAGCAACATCCAGACCATGACAGTACTACAAACTGGCAGATGAATAGTGGAAACAACATGTACATGACTTAAAAAGAATAAGGATATACATGCCAAAGAGAGTCAGAGAAAAGAGATAGGATGGAATAGCATTCAAAATTACATGTTTTATTTTTGAAGTTCTTGGGTGGTACAAATGGTTTGCACTTGACTTCTAAGTTAAAGATGTGCATTTGACTGTCAGTCTAGAGGTTGGCAGTTCAAACTCACTCATCAGCAACATGGAAGAAAGGCCTAGCCATCTCCTTCTATAAAGAGTACAGCCAAGAAAACCCTGTGGAGCCGTTCTACTCTATAACATATGGTCCTCTATGCAGATGACACAACCTTGCTTGCTGAAAGTGAAGATGACTTGAAGCACTTATTGATGAAGATTAAAGGCTACAGTCTGTAGTGTGGATTACACCTCAATATCAAGAAAAGGAAAATCCTCACAACTGGACCAATAAGTAGCATCACCATAAATGGAGAAAAGATCGAAGTTGTGAAAGATTTCATATTACTTGGTTCCACAATCAACAGCAATGGAAGCAGCAGTCAAGAAATCATGTGTCGTATTGCATTGGGCAAATCTGCTGCAAAAGTCCTCTTTAAAGTGCTGAAGAGCAAAGATTTCTCTTTGAAGACTAAGGCACCCCTAACCTAAGCCATGGTATTTTCAATTGTCTCATATACATGTGAAAGTTGGACAATGAATATGGAAGACTGAAGAAGAGTTTGATGCTTTTGAGTTGTGGTGGTAGTGAAGAATACTGAAAGTACTGTGGGCTTCCAGAAGAATAAACAAATTTGTCCTGGAAGAAGTGCAGCCTGAATGCTCCTTGGAAGAGAGAATGGCCAGACTTGGTCTCACCTACTTTGGTCATGTTGTCAGAACGGACCATTTCCTGAAGAAGGATATCATGTTTGGTAAAGTGGAGGGTCAGTGAAAAAGGGGGAAGACCCTCAACAAGATAGATTGATAAAGTGGCTGCAGTGATGGGTTCAGGTATAGCAAAGATCGTGAGGCTGGTGCAAGACTGGGCAGTGTTTCATTCTGTTTTACATAGGGTCGCTATGAGTCCCAGCTGACTTGACATCACCTAACAACATGTAGTACATATTAAACCAAATGCACTGCTGTCAAGTTCGGAAACCCCTCCTTGGGTTTCCGAAGCAGTATCACTATGGAAGTAGATTGCCTGACCTTCCTTCTGAGGAGTGGCTGGTGGGTTTGAACCACCAGCCTTCTGGTTAGTAGTCAAATGCCTTAGGCACTATGCCACCAGAGCTCCAAGCCTACTGCCATTCAGTTGATTTCTGCTCATAGTGACCTTATAGGACTGAGTGGAGGAGCTCTGGTAGTGTAGTGCCTAGGGCACTTGACTGCTAACCAGAAGGCTTTTGGTTCAAACCCACCAGCTACTCCTCAGAAGGAAGGTTGGGCAATCTACTTCCATAGTGATACTGCCTCAGAAACCCAAGGAGGGGTTGCTGTGAGTTGGGGCCGACTCAACAGCACATAACAACAACAATAACAACAGGACTGAGTGGAGTAGAACTGCCCCATAGGGTTTCCAACGCTGTAAATCTTTGCAGAAGCAGACTGCCTCATTGTTCTTTCACAGAGCCACACGTAGTTTTGAACCACCAACCTTTGGGTTAGCAGCCCAATTTATTAATCGCTGCACCACCAGAGCTCCTTTTCCTTGCTATAGGAGGTAACACAAACAAAAAAATTAAAGATCGTCATAATTTGAATACATCGTAAGTCAGAAACCACCTGTAAATATGTAGAATTTTCCACATTGTATTCCTTTTTAATACTAATCAGAATGGATGGCTCAGATTTACTGACAATTCCTGTTTAAAGTTCTGCAGTTTCACAGCCTTGGCGGACATGGGATGGCTTTATTATCTAGAATCATCCTCTTGGGCTGTCCACAGGGCTGTCCGGAAACTCTGCGTTTAAAATCACTAGGCACTTGACTGCTAACCAGAAGGTTACCAGTTCAAACCCATTACTCACTCCTGGGAAGGAAGGTTGGGCATAGTGCTACCGTCTAGGAAACCTAAGGAGTCTGTCTGACTCCACGACACATAACAACAACAACAACGGCCAAAGTTTTCTATTTGCGCTCCTCTTGGTTCTTTTTCAGAGGATTACAATCCTAGTTTATGAGGAACTACAGTTCCCATAAGACCGTGCAAAAGAAAAAAAAAAAAAATCCTGTGACCCGGGAGTAAGGAACAATCGCGAGAGAACGAGGTTCAGGCGGCTGCGCGAAACGGGTGGTGGTGGGGGGGGTGTGTGTGAAAAGACTGAGGAGGAAGAGGAGGAGGTATCGTCCCACAATACCAGGCGGGAGGGTGGGTATACGGTTTGTATCCGGGCTGTGAGGTGCTTGGAACTTCCGCGGATCTTGCTGCTGCTGTCTCTTTAACGCGAGAGGAAGCGATGCGGAGGGGTGGAAAATGGCAGAGCTGCAGATGTTACTAGAGGAGGAGATCCCATCTGGCAAGAGGGCGCTGATAGAGAGTTACCAGAACCTGACCCGTGTGGCAGACTACTGTGAAAACAACTACATACAGGTGAGGAGTGCGGACGGGCGGGCGCCGGGCGGGCGGAGGACCCGCCGCCGGCCGCCCGAGTGACCAGCCCACTGGGCGGGGTGGGGAACTGCCTGACCTCAGCCTCTGCCTCAGCCCCAACCCCAACCCCAACCCCAACCTCAGCCGCGAAGAGAGCAAGTGGTAAGGTTGAGGGAGCCAGGCTGCGCTACAGGAAGTGGCTCTGGTGGTTGAAACCCATAGAAGAGGAGAGAGAAAATGGGCGAGGAAGCCGGGCGCCCGCCGCAGCTGAGCGGCCCCCTGAAGTCCTCCTCCCAGCGGGCTCGGCCCCTCGGGTCTCGCTGCCCCTCAGCAGCTGCTCTCCATTCACCGTGCTTCTGTCCCGGGGACCCAGCTGCCGCCCCACTGTCTTTCCGCCCGGAGAGAGGTCTAGAACGGGGAGAAGGGAGAGGAATGGGCAGGGATGAGGCTCAGGGAGAAGCAGAAGGGAGAGGAAAAGCGGGGTGTGTGCCGGGGGAGGGTAGGGTGGGGGCGATTATGTCAGTTCAACCCAGAGGGTGTGTCTTTTATTTATTTTTTAAAAAATTTGTCGTGAGTCACATTACACAGACCTCCCCGAGAAGAGGAGGAAGGAGGAGTAAGGGAGGTGGGGAGTAAGAGAGGGCGTTTGAGAAAAGTTAATCTTAAAATTCCTTTAATTGAAGGTTTGTAATTCTGCCTGCCTGTCCGATTTCAAGTCGGGTTTTTCCCTCTCATCATTTCACTTCCGCTTCACTATAATGCAGTCTAGAGATTGTTAGGGCTGTCGCTATTATAAAACATGAATTATTCTTAACTCTTAAATACTCTTTTTCCCCCAAAAGTTCTTGAACTGTTGACTTCATGAGTAACTTAAAATGGAATGATGTAATCATCGTTTTCTGAGGTTTTTATCTTTCCAACCTATGTAAATGTATGGAATATGAAATCCAAATAGATTTCTGAACCTTTGAACCAGAACGTAAAATAGCTGTTATTGTAAATTTATTACAAAGTTCTTGGGGCCTTACCTGTGACAGATGCTTGTTTGTTTTTATTTTAATGATTGAAAGTGAATTATGTGTGTGGTGGTTTGTTTTGTAGATCTTTAACTGTATAAACCTACAGTTTGCAGTAGAAGCAAATAAAGTAGCAAGTCTTTTGTATCAATATAATGACACCAGAAATGTGCTTGTTATTGATAAGGTATGACCAAGACGTGCTTTGATGAGTTATTGCAATTCATAACTACAGTATTTTTAGAAATGCCTCCGTTGTGATTATCATTTTTAAGAACCAATAGTTTCTGTGTTGGCAAATGCATTTCCTCTTTATTTTTAGAGGGAGATACTGTTCAGAATGCTTTAAATATTTCTCAATTTCCATATTAGTAACTATCTTCAGTAGCATTACTAGGAGTTAACTTCACAGATTTTTTTTCAAGCCTTTAGTGTAGGAATTCTACTGATAAGTAAACTTCTTGAATGCGTGCCACATCTACTGTATTACTTGTTTTTGCAAACTTTAAATTTCACCTTTAAAAAAACATTTTAATATCTAGTAGAGATGTTGATCTGCTTACAGACAGAAAAGTGATTTTGTAGTGTATTAATATTAAAAATATGCAACTTTTCTTCAGCATGAAAATCATTAACATTCAGAGTAACTTTAATTTGCTGAAGGTTTTAAAGATTTTGAAACTCAAAGGGAGAGTGTTAAATTGCCCCAATTCCAGAAGAGCTATTGCTTCCCTACAGAAGTCAGTAGATAAGTGCTTCTTAGATGGGAGGCTCCTTTTTGTTTTGCATGTTGGGAAATCTGACAAGTATACGGTGTGGTAACTGCTACATGTTCCCATTAGTTGGTAGCGGCAAACATGTTTTAACCTGTCTGTTGACTATTTCTTTTTCAGATGGTTGTATGTTTTAAAGGCTTTTTTTGTTTTCCCTCTCTGACCCCCTTTCTTTCCCTCTCTTGCTGCCATCGTGTAACTTTGAAAGACTTAAACTTCATTGGTAATTTCCCTCATTAAAAGAAATTGTATTATTTCTAATAGTCTTTCACTGTTTATAATACTAGTATCATGGTGTCAAGAGTCACTCCTGGTAGCCCCAAGGTTTTTTTTTTTTGGTTGTTTTAAACTTGGCTCCAGGTCCCTGGGTGGCAGAAACAGTTTGCACGCCATCACTAACCAAAAGGTTGGCAGTTCAAATCGACCTAGCAGTGCTGTGGAGTAAAGGCCTGGTGATCATTTTGGTAAAGAGTACAGTCAAGAAAAAACCCCATGGAGCTCATTTCTACTCTGTAATACACGGGGGTCTCCGTGAGTGTCGGAATCAACTAGATGGCAAAGGGTTTGTTCTTTGTTTTTTAAACTTGACTCCAGGGGGATATTTGTGATCTTGTTAGCTGCTGTTGAGTCAGCCTCACACTCAGTGGTGACCCCGTGCACAGCAGAATGAAATGCTGTCTGGGCCTGTGCCATGCCAATGATCAGTTGAGGATGGGACTGTTGTGATTAATAGGGTTTTCACTGACTGATTTTTGGAAGTAGGTCGTCCACCGTAATGTAGGAGCTCTGCTGAAACCTGTCCAGTTTCATAGCAACATGCAATCCACCAATGATAGCTGGATACTAGCTGCCCATGAGATGTATTGTCCAGAATTGAACCCAGATTTCCTGCATGGAATGAGAGAAAGAATTCTGAACTATGAATGGTCCACATTTTTACTGTTGGGGGCAGAGGAGAGGAAATTCACATACAGCAATGATTGTTTTAATACTTCAGTAGCCCTTTTTTAACTTTTAACTTTGGACTGCATGATTCAGGTGACTTCCTAGGGGGTGAAGATGATGAAGGCTTAGTGGAACTTAATGATTTTTTAGGGTGGTAAATGATGCTGCTGACTTTGGTGCTATGCATAGGAAACAAATAGTACTAGAAATAGCCATTTGGGCATCTGTTGAGATCTTTCTATATCCTTTCTGTGATGGATTTAGATTATAAACAAAACACTACATAAACATTCTTTCTCTCAGGGAAGTTATGCAGCTACTGTATTTTGAGAATTTCTTATACTCAAAGTGAGTTAGTTATTATCTGGGTAATTTTTTTAAAATTATGATTTGGGTAAAAGTTTACAGAGCAAATTCGCTTTCCATACAGTGGTTCACATACACTTTGTCTCATGACATTGACCACAGTTTACCACAATGCAACAGCTCCCCTCCCACTTCCTCCCCATACTTGCCTCTTCCCTGTGTCCTTCCCTCATGCACTCCTGCCCCCTCAGCTGTCTCCCTGCATACATAGCGCTTCTATTCTCCCATGATTGTTCTTTCCAAGGAGTCTGTCTACCTCAGGTAAATGTTCAACTCATATGCCTGCCTTTTGTTAGGCTGGAAGCCACAGGAGTGGGTTCAATTCCAGACCTGAAGGGCAGCTAGGGGCCATAGTCTCAGTGGTTTCATCATAGCTGGGTAGTAGTTTTTATCTTAAGAATTAAAATTTTATTTTATTGTTTTCCCACAGTTTTCAAGTGCAGTCCAGTTCAGCTAAGTTCTTTGGGTTTTAGTGCAATTGAGTCCTTGTAGCAGTTTATTTGCTCTTTGGGTTCTGTTGACTTTATTAAATTGTGTTATTAATAGCAAAACTTGTCAAAAGATTGCATTATCTTGAAAAGGACAGAATTTTTGACGTTGTTATTGGGGAAGGATACTTGAAAAGTTTTTTTTACTTTATGTATAGATATTGAAAGTCTTTGCCTTTTCTACCTTAGGTTTGATATGACCAGTTTGAGTTTTCTGGTAGGTTAAGGACAGTCATTCCTTAACATCAGCACAGTTATTTATCAGACTGATTTTCTTTGCTTTACCTCAGGGTTCATACTGTCTCTGTTGAGGGAACTATATTGGAGTATAGGAGGGAAAGTGGAAGAAGAGTAGAAACTGCTTAAGCAAGGTTTCTCAGGATATAGATTTCTAGCAAAGGCAGAAAGTTTTCCATTCAAATTAACTTTTTAACTTTATTTTTTAATTCTTTTGCCTAGAATCCCACCAGCAAGAGTTTCATTTGAGTTAGCAAGTATATTTTAAGGTCTGGGAGTTTAAAGAAGATGTCATCAATCCAATCTTAACTGAATTACTTAGTGTAGTTTGCTTTCCTCCTGCTGTTAACTTAGTATGATCATTTGCTCCTTGTGTACATTTGATCTTAGAAGCCAGGTAATTTTTGAACAGGAGGACCTGGAGTAGGTAAAAGCTAACATTTCTGGTACTACACAGTTTATGGCAGCTCATAAATTGTTAATTATTAACAATAATTCTATAATTTTCTTTTTTTGGTAACAAATAAACAGTCCAAAGTTCAGAGAAGTTAAATACCTAGCCTAAAGTTCCCATAGGAGCTCTGGTAGCATAGTGGCTAAGACACTTGCCTGCTAACCAGACGGCTGGCAGTTCAAACCCACCAGCCACTCCTTGGAAGGAAGGTTGGGCAATCCTACTTCTGTAGTGATACTGCCTCGGAAACCCGAGGAGGGGTCGCTATGAGTCGGGGCCGACTTGATGGCACATAACAACAACAACAACAAAGTTCCCATAGGTTGTATGAGATAGTGACCAGAGTGAAACTCAGGTGTTTGATTCCAAATCCTAAATTCTTTCCAAGAAATTCTGAGTCGGGTGCTTAGTGCAGTGTAAGGGATAAAAAAGAATGTGCAGACAGAATAATAAAGAAGAACAGAGAGTGGTACAATTGTTCCTTTTTATTGAGTGCCTTCTGGTAGCATAGTGCCTAAGGCACTTGACTGCTCACCAGAAGGCTGGCGGTTCAAACCCACCAGCCACTCCTCGGAAGGAAGGTTGGGCAGTCCTACTTCCGTAGTGATACTGCCTCGGAAACCCAAGGAGGGGTCACTATGAGTTGGGGCCGACTCGGTGGCACACAACAACAACAACACTCTGTCTTTGTATTACCTTTAATCCTTACAACACCTCTCCA